TTTCCATTGTAGTAAACATAAGTTATGTTCCGCACACAAAACTAGACTTTTGAGCGTTTGGCTCTTATATCAAATATATTTTAAATCAGTCCTTATTCAGCGATATAAACAAATAGATGATAATCAGCTGTTCATCCCTTGACACCTTCCTTGATGTGTATTAACCCATTGCCGCCGGGGATGGCATGTACGTACATGCCATGCCCACTTTGAGTCGACTTGTTCGATTGTTTTTACACATAGATGGCTACACTTGTACTAAGTATCCAATGAGCCAATTCGAGTACTGCCTGTCTCGCCCGTTCACCCTTTTCATCGATTTACAAAAATATTTAACGTTATCCTAATTTGCTGTTAAAAATAACTATCTATATTTATAGCACTAGTAAGAATACGTTTTTTTCCCGCCAATTTAAGGAAAAGTGAAATCAGGACTAGCAGAGCCATCTATGGAAAGACATATTTCACAAAAATATAAAAAATGAGTACAGTATTTTCCCCTTTTTTTTTTCATTTTCCCCGGCGGCAATGGGTTAAGGACAGTGGGAGATTTTTAGTTTGAGCTTGTTACATTTGCCTTTTCGGTTTCCTTCTTTGCAAATGCGTAAGTGCTAATCTTAATTGCCATTGCCATCATCGTCATCACCATCATCATCATCATCATCATCATCATCATCATCATCATCATCATCATCATCATCATCATCATCATCATCATCATCATCATCATCATCATCATCATCATCATCATCATCATCATCATCATCATCATCATCATCATCATCATCATCATCATCATCATCATCATCATCATCATCATCATCATCATCATCATCATCATCATCATCATCATCATCATCATCATCATCATCATCATCATCATCATCATCATCATCATCATCATCATCATCATCATCATCATCATCATCATCATCATCATCATCATCATCATCATCATCATCATCATCATCATCATCATCATCATCATCATCATCATCATCATCATCATCATCATCATCATCATCATCATCATCATCATCATCATCATCATCATCATCATCATCATCATCATCATCATCATCATCATCATCATCATCATCATCATCATCATCATCATCATCATCATCATCATCATCATCATCATCATCATCATCATCATCATCATCATCATCATCATCATCATCATCATCATCATCATCATCATCATCATCATCATCATCATCATCATCATCATCATCATCATCATCATCATCATCATCATCATCATCATCATCATCATCATCATCATCATCATCATCATCATCATCATCATCATCATCATCATCATCATCATCATCATCATCATCATCATCATCATCATCATCATCATCATCATCATCATCATCATCATCATCATCATCATCATCATCATCATCATCATCATCATCATCATCATCATCATCATCATCATCATCATCATCATCATCATCATCATCATCATCATCATCATCATCATCATCATCATCATCATCATCATCATCATCATCATCATCATCATCATCATCATCATCATCATCATCATCATCATCATCATCATCATCATCATCATCATCATCATCATCATCATCATCATCATCATCATCATCATCATCATCATCGTCATCACCATCATCATCATCATCATCCTTATTATTGATATTGTTATTATTATGACTGTTACCATTATCATTATTGTTGTTATTATATTTATTGTTATTATTATCACTGTTATTATTATTATTAATATTATTGTTCTTGTTATTGTTATCATTATTTTATATTTTTGTAATTATATCTATAAAATATATATTTGTATGTAATATATATATATATGTGTGTGTATATATATATATATATATATATATATATATATATATATATATATATATATATATATATATGTATATATATATATATATATGTATATATGTATATATATGTGATATATATATATATATATATATATATATATATATATATATATATATATATATATATATATATATATATGTATGTATATATGTGTATATATATGGATAGATAGATATAGATATAGATATACTTATATATATTCCTCTATATAGATTCATCTTTTATGCAGACATGTTAAGGTGTTGGATGGTTTAAATCATTTATTAGAATATTATGCACCTTTGTCTCTATTCCATCATTAAGTTTGTGGGAATTTGATATGGAGTTCGTGAAGTGTTTTGCAGTTAGAAAGGAGATTCATAGCAAAAAGGTACAGGGATGATTTTGTCTACTGATAATAGTCTATGAGGCTGTTAGTGTTCCATTTGCTGTAAAATGCAGGAAGTTATTAGTTTAACAGTTTTGTGTTATTTATGAATATTCAGTTACTATATAGATCATGGCCACCAATGCTCCTCTCTTTAATCTTCCTTTATTTTTGATATTGCCATTATGATATTTTTTTTTTCTTGAAATGTTGAGTTTCGTGTTTTCTTCGTTTTTATAAACTGCTGATCCATCTTATTTAGTATTTAATACCACTTAACATTTTGCCATTTTTAAGCCAATCATGATGGGTTTTTCCCACACCATAACTAATCCCCTTGCCAGCTCAGTCAACTGCTCAAGTGAACAATTAAAAGTGTGAGAGTTAGTCATTTACCCTGCTTTGGAATTTGGCTACATCATGCACAACATTATAAGAGGCCGTCACTGTCAAATCTGGGTACCCTTGATATGGGACCTGGATTTTTTTTTTTTTTTTTTCGCCACAGCTTGTCGAGAGCTTATGTACACTAGAGAGTTGACAGATATTAATTCAAGGTAATTCTATGAGCACATGATTTCTAAGTAATTTTACTGTAAAAATTCAAAATGATTTCAACAGGCGTCCATCCTGACTAAGTAATGTGCGTTGTGGGTAACAAAAAAAGCCACTGTGTCTTAATTTTTTATTATTATTTTCCATCTCAATCTAGGCTCTTTTGGACAGACCCCTAAGAAATGTGGCAAAATAGAGCCTTTACCTCTAGTTTTGAGGCAAGTGCAGTGAGGCCAAACAAGGTACAAACACAGAGCAGGCTGGTTGTGTGTAGTAGTTGCTACCAAGCACCAGGGATTGATTTGTCATGGCAAGAATAAATGCAAAAATAGTTCCCCTCCCCCAGATTTTCACACTAGTGTACTTAATTTTGTTTACTGTAGGGAAAAAATCAGTTGCATTAGAACATGTAAGAAAATTTTTTTTGATCTTGTCCTTGTAGTTTTTTTTTTTTGGGGGGGGGGTTATATCTCGAGTTTCGTTTTATTTGGCAAATAGATAACTGAAATAAATAAATTTGTTGGTATTCTTGTTTGGCACATCATATAGTGGCTGACTGCTCTCATAATGAAGGAGGAAAAAAAATAATTGTACTGTTTGAATTTGAATTTTCAAGAGAGAAATTCTATTTCAATATGAATCAGAAAATAAAATATTAAAATTTTATCAATACTGTAAATAGTATATTTCTATTCTAGGAAATGCAACATAGATAAAGAAACTTGCACAAGTATTTAGAAAAAATCAAATGAGATATGGTGTTTTAAATATTTACATCCAATAATTAGACATAGTACTCTACAGACTTGAATCGCTTTCGCCACAGCTTGTCGAGAGCTTATGTACACTAGAGAGTTGACAGATATTAATTCAAGGTAATTCTATGAGCACATGATTTCTAAGTAATTTTACTGTAAAAATTCAAAATGATTTCAACAGGCGTCCATCCTGACTAAGTAATGTGCGTTGTGGGTAACAAAAAAAGCCACTGTGTCTTAATTTTTTATTATTATTTTCCATCTCAATCTAGGCTCTTTTGGACAGACCCCTAAGAAATGTGGCAAAATAGAGCCTTTACCTCTAGTTTTGAGGCAAGTGCAGTGAGGCCAAACAAGGTACAACACAGAGCAGGCTGGTTGTGTGTAGTAGTTGCTACCAAGCACCAGGGGTTGATTTGTCATGGCAAGAATAAATGCAAAAATAGTTCCCCTCCCCCAGATTTTCACACTAGTGTACTTAATTTTGTTTACTGTAGGGAAAGAATCAGTTGCATTAGAACATGCAAGAATATTTTTTTTGATCTTGTCCTTGTAGATCTAGGGTATTTATGGTTCATGAAATATTGAAATGAAGCCTTTTTTTTGATTGATATTCACAATAAATATGAAGTGCCTTCCAGTGCTGAGCGTCATTCCTGATTCTGCCCTTTAGAGAGCATACTTTTCCTGTGATGAAAGTCCAGGCTGTTCTTTCCCCATTTTCTCTAAATTTCGTTATTGGGTGGCAGTTTGTTTCTTATTCACTTTGGTTTTCTCTTGGAAACGATTAGTGTGTAAGAAGTAGTAGATAAAGTTAGGTTTACTTCTTTTTTCTCTTATCTTTAATTTTTTTTATTATTATTATTATTATTTTTTTCTATTTTTTTATTTTATTATTTTTTTTTCATATATATATATATGTATGTTTATGTATGTATGTATGCTTTATATATATATATATATATATATATATATATATATATATATATATATATATATATATATATATATATATATATATATATATGTATGTATGTATGTATGTGTATATGCATATATATATGCATATCTATACATATATATGCACATATACATAAACATATAGACATACATATAATATTATACATATAATATATATGTACATATATATACATATATATGTACATATATATTATATGTATAAGTATATATGTGTATTTGTATATGTATATATGTATATGTACATATATGTAAAATATTATATATTTTGAGATACTGTAGGATTATTCCCTGAATTAAGTTTTACAAAAATATGGTCGAAACAAATGTGCATAAAGTACATCCTAGTAAATCAGGATCAAGTAATACATTTTATAACTTGTAAATCTTCACAGTTTTGATAGTCCTTTTCCAACTTTTTTTCTTTAGTTAATATTTTCTTTTTGTTTCAGTTGAGGGCGTTGGTGTACCATGTCGAGTGTGCTTAATCGGTCGACATCAATGATGAATGGTGGAGAGATGTATCTTGGGGGGGCAACAGGAGAGGGGGGGGCTGGAGACGGAGGGGGGGGTGGCATGTCTCTCCGTGAGTCATTAGTAGGCGTGTTAGGGGCACGTCACCTTAGGGAGTCACCAACATCCTCACCTCTACAGATATTTGTGCGAGCTAAGAAGAAGATCAATGATATATATCAGGAGATTGAAGAATATGTGGCAGAAACAACACATTTCCTGGAAGGCAAGTTACAGGGGCTTTGTTTTGAATATTATATTAAACACCCATTTTAACCTGAAACTGGAGATAGATTGTTCAATTCATACTTTGTTTAGTGGATAACAGTGTTTAATGTCTTCCTTTGTTTCAACAGGGGTACATAATGATAAAGATCTTATTGATGAGAAGGGATTGCAAGAATTCAAACTGTACAGCTCAAAAGTTGCAGGAATTCAGGAAGTACTGGCTAGAGACCACATGAAGGTTTGTAGATGAGGACGTTCCAGAACAGTATGCATATAATGGAATTGAATTGTATAAGGGTGATAATGTCTGTGTTGCTTTTTTTGTTTTGAAGTGTTTTTTAAAAGACTAGTTTTGCTGTACCTGCCATATTATCATCTGGTTTCAGGTGGCCTTCTTTGGTCGAACATCTAATGGAAAAAGCACAGTAATCAATGCAATGTTAGGGGACAAGATCCTTCCTTCAGGCATTGGACACACAACCAACTGCTTTTTACAGGTTAGTTGCCCAGATGTATTGTATATTCTTAATCAACTGTAAGATTTTATAGTATTGGTTATGTCTTATAAAGTCTGTAGATTTTCCTGGGAAACTGTATTCAAATGTTTTTTTTTATTACTTGCTATTGTGAATGTATGATGGAAGTAAAGACCTGCTTTATTTACTGCTTTGTAGGTTGAAGGCGATGATACAAATGAACCATATTTTACAACTGAAGGATCTACAGAGAAGCAGAACCTGAAGGGTATTGGTCAGCTTGCACATGCTCTCTGCAATAACAGACTTGGCGATTCTTCGCTCGTCCGAATTCACTGGCCAAAGTCTAGATGTCCACTTCTGAGAGATGATGTCGTTCTGGTAGACTCCCCCGGCATAGATGTGTCGGAGAGCCTGGACGAGTGGATTGACAAGCATTGCCTAGATGCTGATGTGTTTGTGCTGGTTGCCAATTCAGAGTCGACCCTCATGAACACGGTACATTTCCCTGAAGATTAGCTCTTTCTTTAAAGTTATTAATCTGTTACTGTTCATTGCTCTTTTTTGTGAATTTTATTGGACATAGATGGCTCCACAAGTGCTCAGTCACAAGAGTCGGATAGTATGCCCAACATAACCTCAGCTGATTTCCCCTTTCCTTGAAATTTTAGACTTAGACTTTTTTTTTTTTTCAGTGTTGATACTGTTGTGCTGTTATTAACACTGCTATTATTATAATATTATTATAATAGCAATAAAAATAGGAGAGAGACTTCAAAAATCAAGGAAAAGAGTAAATAGGTAACATGGATAGGACTAGTGATTGACCCTTTTATGAACAAACGCTTGTGGAGTCATGAGTGTGTCCATTTAATAAGCTAAAATCTCAGTGGATAAGGCAAGTATGTCCTGCCCTCCGACCACAATGAGGTGTTGATGAATAATTGATTGTGAAAGAATCTACTTTTAGGATATTATCTTCATGTGAATTAATCAGGTATATAAATCCACAGGAGAAGAATTTCTTCCACAAAGTGTCTTCAAAACTCTCGAAGCCCAATATATTCATCCTTCAGAACAGATGGGATATGGCTGCAACAGAACCCGAGTTTCTAAATGAAGTAAGTAGACGTGGACAGATTAAGAAAAGCAATTGGCATTAACTGTAAGAGCTCCTTATTTCTTTATGTACTTTAAAGAAATTTGTATTTTTTCTATATTAAGTCCTAAAGAGGGCTAAGTAAGATTGTGTAGGTGTGTGTTTGCTCCTGTATGTGTATACAAGTGCAAGGAATTGGGATATAAATAGAGAAACTAGCAGCTCTTATGTAAGCTTGTTCAATTTGTGACTCATGTTGGGTATAGATGTTTTAATCCAAATTATTACAGGTATTTGAAAAAAAATATTTTTCTTTATTTTTATTTTTTCTTATTTCTCTGCTCAGTTGATTTGAATTTAGATTTTTCTAGTGCATTTAAAGATCATTAATGCTGGATGTCATGTTAAAAGATAATACTATTTACATAAATATATAAACTGTAATTCCTTGTTGATGGGATTCAGAATAACTTAGTGTTTTCTATTTAAAGAATTTGAAAGAATATAACCATTTAAAGATGCCAGTCCCCTTTTAAAGGAACTTTTTCCCAAAGTGAGGTTGGATGCTCCTTATATGAAAAGTTGTGATGATAATGAAACCTTTTCTTTTAAATTTATCAAAAAGCCAAATAATTGGATTAATCAATGTCATTTTACATAGAGTATTTCAATAATTCAACTTGAATCTAGTCACTCTGTTAGGCATGCTGACTTGACATCTGTTTTGTGAAAATTAACCCAATGGCGACGGGTGTACAAAAGAAAAAAAAACTCTACGCTTAAACAAACAAAGGCGGCGCACCGACTTTGAGAGCGTGAGTAGGGGACATCAGCCCGAATCACTGGCTCGCCGCGCTTTGGCGTGCCGCCGGCTCGTTTGGCTGCACGCCAGCTTTTGAGCTCTTTGTTTACACGCCGATCGGCGTCACCCGGCACCAAGGGGTTAAAAGTCAATTAATATTGTAAGGTTGATACTTAGTCTATTGCTGCCAGGTAATCTGACTGTTTACCTTAGGAAAGAGAAAAAAAATTAGAAGTATTGGATACGATTATAATTATAACTCATTTTGTTGATTTACTAGTGTAGGTTCAACCTTTATTTTCTACTTTTGCCACAACATTAACCCTTTTTGTGTCTTACCAGAAAATACATTTTTGAAATTTGATAAAATATAAAAAATTGTAAGCTTTCAACCTTCATAAGAAAAAAATGTAATGTGAAAGGAAATTGCAGGAGCTATGTTAATAAGCATTATATTATCTCAGAAAAAAAATTGAAAACATGACTAGTCAGGTGTTACCATGGCAGTGGATTTTCAGAGAAAAGAATATTAGGTAAACCAAAAATTGCAATCCCGACTTGATGTCAGTGGAGGTACAAAAAGTGAATATCCAATGTCTGCAAGATTTTGGGATTATTGTTGTGCTCAGCTGGGTGAATTTTTCAGCATGTTTCTCCATTTTTTATGATAATTAATTCCTTTGCTATCTGTAGAGGACTGGTATCTTTAAGCCTTGTGGAAAAGCTAGGGACATACAAAGGAGAATGTAGGCAGCATAAAGTATATCTGAGTATGATGTTTTATAGTCATTGTGAGATGGATAGTCTGGAAATATATCATTCTTTGGTCATTTGTGCTTAGAACTGATTATATAACAGTACTAATTCTTGGTTTGTTGGGCATTGTAGGCTAACAATGAGCAGCATGAGGTAAGATCATTTTATTGGGCTTGTTATAGCTATTTTTTTAGCTTTACTTTCACCAAAGTTGACATGAGTCATTCCATGTACAAGGGGATACAGATTTTTTAGTTGTTTGTTTAAGTGTTATGCCAGCATAAGTAATTGAAGCTATTATTTATTAATTGCTTTTTTTATTTATTTTTTTTATTTGTTTATTTTCCTTCATGTTAAGGGAAATTAAGAGGTTCTTCAGAGCATTCACCCCTTTGGTGTAACCTTTTGAGTGCCATGAGTAGAAAACAAATTAGGTTGTTATTGTAATCGTGAAAACGTTTTCCAATCCAGAAGTGAATCTGTTTTCTTTAGACTTCGTAAATACTGCAAATTTTATGAAAGTAGTTTCAGCTAATAAACTATGGAGATACTTGTAATAATTCATATTTATCAGAAAGTCAATTTGCTTTTCTATAAAATCTATAATTTGTTTGTCCTCTCCTTGCCCTTCCATGTCATAATGAATCCCAAAAGTTGAAGGGGTCCAAGGGAAATGGGAGAATGTGGGATGGGGGATGTCGTAGTCTAGAGATGGTCTAGAGGATACACAGGGGAGGACTGGGAGAAGGAGAAGCCACCCAGACATACAAGGTGGCCCAGTGTGCTAGCAAGATATTTAAATGGCCCACTAGTGTTTGGGGGCTCAGTCAGAAGTTACTTTGTAAACTCGAGGTGCCTTAGACTACAGGAGATAATTTCAAACTGCTTGTTACATATGTTTTATAATAAAACCCCTAGGAAGAGAGGAGTAGAAGAGAGGCATATTGTATATACAGAGTGCGTGTGCGCGTGCGTGTGCGTGTGCGTGTGTGTTTATATATGTATATGTACACATATACATGTACACACATATGTACTCACACACATGCATGTACACACACACACACACGCATGTACACACACACGCACACACACACACGCACACACACACACACACACACACACGCACACACACGCACACACACGCACACACACGCACACAGACACACTCAGACACACACACACACACACAGACACACACACACACAGACACACACACACACAGACACACACACACACAGACACACACACACACAGACACACACACACACAGACACACACACACAGACACACACACACAGACACACACACACAGACACACACACACACAGACACACACACACACACAGACACACACAGACACACACACAGACACACACACACACACAGACACACACACACAGACACACACACACAGACACACACACACACACACACACACACACACACACACACACACACACACACACACACACACACACACACACACACACACACACACACACACACACACACAGACACACACACACACACAGACACACACACACACACAGACACACACACACACACAGACACACACACACACACAGACACACACACACACACACACACACAGACACACACACACACACACACAGACACACACACACACACACACACACACAGACACACACACAGACACAGACACACAGACACAGACACACACACAGACACACACACACACACACACACACACACACACACACACACACACACACACACACACACACACACACACACACACACACACACACACACACACACACAGACACACACACACAGACAGACACACACACACAGACAGACACACACAGACAGACAGACACACACACACACACACACACACACACACACACACACACACACACACACACACACACACACACACACACACACACACACACACACACACACACACACACATGCAGTATCTTATTCAAAGAAAAGAAACTAAATGGCCGACATACAGGCTAGAAGTTGAGGCAAATTGACTGGGTGAGAGGCATTCAAAAGGTTAAAACAAGGGGACATACTTTTGCTCTGAGGTTTTTCATGCACTGCAGGTGTTTTGCTACCAATAACTATTTAAAGTTTTTCTTTAAATTTTCTCTTCTCGGTGTTTTATTTAGTTGGTATTTTTGTAAGTGTAGTTATTATGTTATGCACCCTCTGTTTAATTAGTTAAATAGTAATTCAATCCATAAAACTATTTGTTGAAGACTTGAAAATTCTATGTTGAACAATGTCATCTGTAAGTTCTAAGTTGGGACATGACCTATATTTTCAATTTACTTATCAGATTTATATTTGGCTCTGTTGTTTATTGAGTTATTGATATTGTCAGGTCCGCAAGCAGCACTTAGAACGAACCATAGCCTTCTTGGTTGAGGAACTCAAAGTTGTCCAAGGACCACAGGCAGAGCAGAGAGTGTTTTTTGTTTCTGCCAAAGAAGTTCTTCAGCAGCGCCTTAATGAATCTAAAGGCCAACCAAATAACAGTAAGTCTTTTCAAAATGTATGTATTAAGCTTGAAATTCATACAATTTTGTTCTTGCCTGTGATAGATCTGAAAGCTGTCTTTGAGAATATATGACCAAATTTAGTAACAGGAATTCCCTTTTATTCCACTTGCAAACTACTAGTTTGTATAATTTATGGACATAGATGTTTAGGTGAGGTCTTTGGTTTGATTTGTGAACTAAGGAGAACTAACTAAGTTTGTTAGAGAACACTTTTTTTATAATTTTCAAATTATTTGGTTATTTCTTTATTTTCTAAGTTCAGTAATTTAGCAAATCAAGAAATGACATAGAGCGTATTTAACTCCCCTGTGATGGGTCCTACAGAGTCCAGTGCACCCTTATTTCTAGGTGCTATCTATGTCAGTGAGTGCCTGCTGCTGAGGACCCATTTGTGAATCACACTTAGGCAACCCAGTCAGAGTGAAGGCAGAGAACGCAAGTCTAACATACGAGACGGCTGGTTGTGGGCCATATTCTGAGGTGCCCTTCTTTCCTGGGTTAACTTAGCATCAGCTCTTACATTGTTTATTATTATTATTATTATATTTAAAAAAACAAGAAAATATGTAACTAATGTGTATAATTTTTATAATTTTATGTAGATGCCCCTTATGAATTTTTACGGTAAAATTACATGGAAATCTTGTGCTCATAGAATTCACTTGAATCAACTCTCTGGTGTATATAAGCCATGGTGACAGCAATTCAAGTCTGTATAATGGTACGAAGTGTGATCACTTGATATAAATGTTTCAATAACTTTGTAAATAATTGTTTGATTTTCTTCATTTATATTGCATTTTGTAGAGTGGAAAGTATGCTATTTTTTGCATCAGTGAAATTGTTTTTTTTATGTTTTTGAATAATATTGAAACAATTTTCTTTTCTTGAAAATTCAAACCCAGATGTTGGAACTAATAAAAGGAACTAAAAAAATCCTTGGCACAACTTTTAGATAATAAATGAAGCTTATTATTATTATTTTTCCATTGTTCATAATGGAGCAGTTAGCCCATGATGTGCTAAACTAGAAAAATTACAAATTTATTTTTCCACCTCTACCTCTACCTCTACCTCTACCTCTACCTCTACCTCTACCTCTACCTCTACCTCTACCTCTACCTCTACCTCTACCTCTACCTCTACCTCTACCTCTACCTCTACCTCTACCTCTACCTCTACCTCTACCTCTACCTCTACCTCTACCTCTACCACTACCTCTACCTCTACCTCTACCTCTACCTCTACCTCTACCTCTACCTCTACCTCTACCTCTACCTCTACCTCTACCTCTACCTCTACCTCTACCTCTACCTCTACCTCTACCTCTACCTCTACCTCTACCTCTACCTCTACCTCTACCTCTACCTCTACCTCTACCTCTACCTCTACCTCTACCTCTACCTCTACCTCTACCTCTACCTCTACCTCTACCTCTACCTCTACCTCTACCTCTACCTCTACCTCTACCTCTACCTCTACCTCTACCTCTACCTCTACCTCTACCTCTACCTCTACCTCTACCTCTACCTCTACCTCTACCTCTACCTCTACCTCTACCTCTACCTCTACCTCTACCTCTACCTCTACCTCTACCTCTACCTCTACCTCTACCTCTACCTCTACCTCTACCTCTACCTCTACCTCTACCTCTACCTCTACCTCTACCTCTACCTCTACCTCTACCTCTACCTCTACCTCTACCTCTACCTCTACCTCTACCTCTACCTCTACCTCTACCTCTACCTCTACCTCTACCTCTACCTCTACCTCTACCTCTACCTCTACCTCTACCTCTACCTCTACCTCTACCTCTACCTCTACCTCTACCTCTACCTCTACCTCTACCTCTACCTCTACCTCTACCTCTACCTCTACCTCTACCTCTACCTCTACCTCTACCTCTACCTCTACCTCTACCTCTACCTCTACCTCTACCTCTACCTCTACCTCTACCTCTACCTCTACCTCTACCTCTACCTCTACCTCTACCTCTACCTCTACCTCTACCTCTACCTCTACCTCTACCTCTACCTCTACCTCTACCTCTACCTCTACCTCTACCTCTACCTCTACCTCTACCTCTACCTCTACCTCTACCTCTACCTCTACCTCTACCTCTACCTCTACCTCTACCTCTACCTCTACCTCTACCTCTACCTCTACCTCTACCTCTACCTCTACCTCTACCTCTACCTCTACCTCTACCTCTACCTCTACCTCTACCTCTACCTCTACCTCTACCTCTACCTCTACCTCTACCTCTACCTCTACCTCTACCTCTACCTCTACCTCTACCTCTACCTCTACCTCTACCTCTACCTCTACCTCTACCTCTACCACTACCTCTACCTCTACCTCTACCTCTACCTCTACCTCTACCTCTACCTCTACCTCTACCTCTACCTCTACCTCTACCTCTACCTCTACCTCTACCTCTACCACTACCACTACCTCTACCTCTACCACTACCTCTACCTCTACCTCTACCTCTACCACTACCTCTACCTCTACCTCTACCTCTACCTCTACCTCTACCTCTACCTCTACCTCTACCTCTACCTCTACCTCTACCTCTACCTCTACCTCTACCTCTACCTCTACCTCTACCTCTACCTCTACCTCTACCTCTACCTCTACCTCTACCTCTACCTCTACCTCTACCTCTACCTCTACCTCTACCTCTACCTCTACCTCTACCTCTACCTCTACCTCTACCTCTACCTCTACCTCTACCTCTACCTCTACCTCTACCTCTACCTCTACCTCTACCTCTACCTCTACCTCTACCTCTACCTCTACCTCTACCTCTACCTCTACCTCTACCTCTACCTCTACCTCTACCTCTACCTCTACCTCTACCTCTACCTCTACCTCTACCTCTACCTCTACCTCTACCTCTACCTCTACCTCTACCTCTACCTCTACCTCTACCTCTACCTCTACCTCTACCTCTACCTCTACCTCTACCTCTACCTCTACCTCTACCTCTACCTCTACCTCTACCTCTACCTCTACCTCTACCTCTACCTCTACCTCTACCTCTACCTCTACCTCTACCTCTACCTCTACCTCTACCTCTACCTCTACCTCTACCTCTACCTCTACCTCTACCTCTACCTCTACCTCTACCTCTACCTCTACCTCTACCTCTACCTCTACCTCTACCTCTACCTCTACCTCTACCTCTACCTCTACCTCTACCTCTACCTCTACCTCTACCTCTACCTCTACCTCTACCTCTACCTCTACCTCTACCTCTACCTCTACCTCTACCTCTACCTCTACCTCTACCTCTACCTCTACCTCTACCTCTACCTCTACCTCTACCTCTACCTCTACCTCTACCTCTACCTCTACCTCTACCTCTACCTCTACCTCTACCTCTACCTCTACCTCTACCTCTACCTCTACCTATACCACTGCCACCACCAGTGAAATTTTTGTTTTTTTATGTTTTTGAATAATATAGACACATTTTTCTTTTCTTGAAAATTCAAACTGAAATATTGGAACTAATAAAAGGAACTAAAAAAATCCTTGGCACAACTTTTAGATAATAAATGAAGCTTATTATTATTATTTTTCCATTGTTCATAATGGAGCAGTTAGCCCATGATGTGCTAAACTAGAAAAATTACAAATTTATTTGTTATTTCAGTTATTTATTTGCCAAATGAAACCAAAATCAAGATATTATATGATTATAATAATACCAATCAGAAAAAAATGCCCAATGGTCATTTTTTGAAATATCACAAAAGAAAACAGTTTGATCTAGGGTAACTAATAATTTTTCGTGGGTTTAGGCCTGTTAAATAAGGAGCATTAAAAAGATTAACCTTATGTGCATGTTTTTACATACATATAAACCTCATTGAAAATTATAACCAACCTATTTCTATTATTATTGCCATTAATCCAGATATAGTCAGTATTAGCATTAATAGATATTATTTGTTTTTATTTCCACAGCCTCAGGGTACCCAGATGGATTTACAAGTCGATATTTTGAATTTCAAGACTTCGAAAGAAAATTTGAAGAATGCATCTCAAAGACAGCTGTTATCACCAAATTTGAGCAGCACACGCAGCGGGGAAAGAGTATTTCAGGGTAAGATGTCAGCTGATGTGTTTCCCACGAAGGGGTAATCGAGACTAGTCAAATACCTCTCTTGTATTGTGAAGATATTCATTCTCATTCATGCCTGTTCTACATCTCTCAACATAAATACGGTTTGTCTGTTAATATATTTTATATATTAAAAATTATCAGACATCCATTATTTTATACTGGTTTATTATTTTTTTTCCCTACCCCTCCTCCACCTCCCTCTCCTCCACCTCCCCCTCCCTCTCCACCTCCACCTCCACCTCTACCTCTACCTCTACCTATACCACTGCCACCACCACCATTCTTCTTCCTCTCCTCCTCCTCCTCCACTCTTTCTCCTCCTCTTCCTCCACTACTACTCCACCACTTCTCCTCCTCCTCCTCCTCCTTCTCCTCCTCCTCCTCCTCCTCCTCCTCCTCCTCCTCCTCCTCCTCCTCCTCTTCCTCCTCCTCCTCCTCTTCCTCCTCCTCCTCCTCTTCCTCCTCCTCTTCCTCCTCCTCTTCCTCCTCCTCTTCCTCCTCCTCCTCCTCCTCCTCCTCCTCCTCCTCCTCCTCCTCCTCCTCCTCCTCCCTCCTCTTCCTCCTCCTCCTCTTCTCTTTTCCAGAATTACTTGCAATGTAGGACAATGTCTAGATGTCCTTGTGACATGTTACTTTGAAGAAGACTGTGTGGATATATTGAATGGCATACTTTTTTCATATTTCTTTATTATTTTATATCTTTATCATTTTCAGGGAAATCCAGTTAATAGTGGGGAGAGTTATGGAGCGATCATGGCAGGAAAGGGAGGAAAAAATGTCTGAGAGACACAGCCTATGGGCAAGGCTGGACCACACGGAGAAAGAGCTGCATGCCCTTACAACACAGATGAAGGAAAAGATTTGTTCCATTGTGGAAGACGTAGAAAGGAGAGTAAGTATGTCATTCCATGGATTTATGTATTATGTATTAAATGGCATTAACAAGAACTGCCCATTCCTAAAGTTAAAGACTTATGAAGTGCATCAGTAATTAAGATATGTATTCCAGAAATTTATTTTATAATTTTTGGTCGTGATATGGAAAGTGTGTATTTATATGCTACTTAAATCTTATCATTACAGGTATCAAATGCACTAAATGAAGAAATAAGGCGCCTGTCTGTGTTAGTTGATGAATTTAACGAGCCATTCCATCCAGACCCTCTTGTGCTGAATGTCTATAAGAAAACTTTACATGCACATGTTGAGTCTGGCTTGGGGTCAAACCTGCGAGCAAGACTTTCCTCTGCTTTGGCTTTGAATATTGAAAGTAGTCAAGCAGAAATGACAAGTAAGTTCTTTCTTTCTCTCATTATTACTTCATTTAGTTCCATCTAGTTCTTGCTTGTTGGCATAAGGTTCATTACAATTTTCCTTTTTGAAGTCCCCATCATATCATAATGCTATACTATTGATGTGTACTTTTGTGTTTTTGGTATTCTCATACTAGATAAAAATAACAAAAGATAGAATAAATTAATATAAAGATTAGGATAGAGAGATTTTTATAACTGAAGAATTTTATCTTGACGGCATTCTCATTAATCATTCTGTTTTTGTTTTTGTTTGTCATTAGCTGTATGATTAAGGTGCATTTAACAGTGAAAGCTTATTATATCATTATGAATGTTTCTTGTACTGATGATGCATCCCATTTAGGCCAGTGAATTGTTATGAGGCCTCTGCAGATGTAAAACTGGCAGAAAGGATTAGGAATTTTTCTCTGTACATTTCCTGTTTTCATTCATTTAGCTATCATAGAAATTAGAGATAATTTTTGAAAGTTATTTTTTCACTTTTCATAGACATCTTGCAATACTTAAAGCAGAGTACTGACAACTATTATTTTTGCAGACCGCATGTTAGCCCTTTTGGGTCAAGAGCGTCGGGACTTAGCAAATACGATGCTCCCAAGGAGAGAACCTTTTGAGATTCTGTATCGCTTGAATTGCGAAAACTTGTGTGCTGATTTTCAGGTATGAATAACTCTAAAGTACATGCAATACTCAGTGGTGTATATAGCATATGAGCATGGCCACAGATGGGTTGCCGTAGGCTTAGAATTTATAGAAGTGCAATATTTCAGGAAATTAATAATAAAGATGATGATGATGATGATGATGATAATGATAATAATAATGGTAACAGTAATAATGATGACAGTAAGAATGATAAGAATAGGGGTAATAGTAACAATTTTAGTAATGATAAGTAGATAAAATGATGATGATAAAGCTGTAATAAACTACTAAAATCTCCCCAAAAAAAAGATCTTGTGGATTAAGGGGGTTGAGGGAGGTTATGTGGTTAGTTGTTTGTATTCCCTTTTGAATTTTGGGTCTTAATCATTCTTTTCTTTTCTTTGCAGGAAGATATAGAGTTTAAGTTCTCTTTGGGCCTGGTGTCCCTGGTTCAGAGAGTGTTAGGAAAAGCTAGCAACAGAATAGTGAACTCTAGACACAAAGAAGGTGTAAGTATATATACTGAAACTATAATTTGAATATTAGGGTACACATACATATAAAGAAAAATGTTAGTGGCAAACAAAATGAAGACTTGGTCAACTCCAGGCTTGCTTATAATTTATTTATTTATTTATTTATTTTTTATCTGCATGTAGTCAAAATTAAGCAAAAATTGTTACCATCTCCGTGTAAAAATAATTGATAAAGTAAACTCACAGTGGGCATGTACGTACATGCTGTGCCTGTCGGCTTTGGGTTAAGATGAACAAGTACTATGAATATTAAAATATTTTTTTATAGCTAGGAAAAATAATTAACAAATATAGAAATTAGATTGAAGTCTTTGGAAAATTACCATTAGATATAAGAACATTGCCCTATAAAAAGACTGTGATTCTAGAGGTCAGTGACTGCTTTACTCTTATTCGTTGCAATTACAGATTCCAAGAAGTGTGCCAATGACACCTCTGACTCCAAGCAATGAGCCTCAGTTTGGTGTGTCTCAGGATGACTGGTCCATCATCAGTCGCTTTGCTCTTGCCAGTGTAGGCTCCCAGGGTACGATGGGCCTTGCACTTGCATTAGGATTGGTAAGACAGTTTCTTTATTGTCTTTCTTTGATTTATAAAAAAAATATGCCCTAGAGTTGTACAACTTTTCATTCTCATCAAATTTATAAAGAAAAAATGTGAAAAACATTCATTTATACTCAGATGTTCAAGACCGTTGGCTGGCGGCTGATAGTGCTAACTGGAGGAGTGTATGGATGCCTGTATGCCTATGAAAGGCTGACCTGGACCAACAAAGCAAAGGAGCGTGTTTTCAAGAAGCAGTATGTTGATCATGCCACGCGCAAGTTAAGACTGATTGTGGATCTAACATCGCATAACTGCTCTCATCAGGTTCAACAGTAAGGCAAAATTTAATTGCATTCATATCTTGATTATATTATAAGAAGGATATTCATATCTGAAGATATTTTTTTATTTGAAGTTGGATTTTTGCCATAACTGTACAGGTGTTATCATGAAGATAAAATAAATTTTAACATATTGTTCTGTAACTCTTTCCAAAGGGAATTAAGTGGCACCTTCGCTCGCCTGTGCCGCCTTGTTGACGAGAGCACAAGTGAGATGCAGAGGGACGTGCGCTCTTTGGAGCGAGAAGTACAGCAGCTTGAGGATATGTCAGCAACGGCAAAGAAATTGCGGAACAAGGCACATTACCTGGCTAATGAGTTAGATATCTTCCAGCAGACATACCTCTCTTCGGATGAATGAGTCATTTGTGTGTGTGTCTTGCTGTGTAAAAGATAAGTCTACTTAATTTGTACTTGCACACACGCTCTTTGTAATGAATATCCATTTCCATTATTTTGTTATAGTTAGTTATATGTAAAGAATAATATCTTCTAATGTCAGATAAGTGACATACTTGATATTGATATGAGCCATAATAATGGCCTAAGCTTTAGGTGGTACAAACATGTAAGATTTTATAAAAGGTACTATAGACAACATTATTCCACTTCTGCTGCTGGTTTTGAAGCTGTTGATCATTGGGGTTCTGAATTATTTCTTTTTAGTTGTATGTGTTTTGGTCAGGCCATATCATTTGACATTTAGTTCCTGCCATTTCTTTAAAAACCTGAGAAAGTTGTACATTAGGAGGGAGAGAGCACTGTAAAAGGTTGTTGGATGGATTACTTACCCACAAAGAGCTACAGTCATCAGTATAAGGTTAATGTCTCATTCAAGTTGAAATAAAGTGAATAAAATTATGAAGAGTATGAATTGGTCGTGATACAAGTAGGAAATCTAAAATGTAATATACATGTGCCATATCCCCCAAAATTTTATAAATTGTAGAACATTATAGTAGGTGTGTATATAATGGTGCATTACAGCAAGTGAGAAAGTTACACAGATTTTTTGCTTGAGATTAGGCAAAAACATTCTTGTAAATACTGTCTTGCTAAGATATTAATGATGCTGAAAGCACATGCATGATAAGTCTTGGCCTGCTTGAAGTAGGAACCCCACACAAAATGTTTGTGTTTTTCAAGTGTTTCTGGCTAGCCTAAAGCAAAGAGTCTGTGTTAGGGTACTTGCCAATTACATCATCAGTCACATTCAGCCACTTGGTAAACTCTGCTCCAGTCAGATTTACTTGTGCAGATCTATAATGGTATCTGTATGTAAATGACATTGAAGTCAGAAATTGCCATAATATATTTGAAGTTGAAGTTGTTGTACTTACTGACTCGTAACATAACATATTTAATCATTGCTTACCACGAAGCCTGTGTCATGAAGTTCATTTGTAAATAACCCAGAATATTTGGTCTCAGAATTATCACTCCAAGCTTGAGCAAACTTCAAATCTCTCTCCATATTACAAGAGAAGTAGTTGGGCATGTAAAAGGCTGTGTTCGTTTATCAGTCATGAGCTACTACCATAGTTTAAGGAGAAAATTAAAATTCATGAATCTATTGCAAAGTAAACTTGTACTCAGAGAGACCATTTACATTGTTAGTGATATTTTTTTTGCTAAATTTTGAAGTCTAACTGAAATTGATTTATCAGTGAAGGAAGGTCAGTCATACAGTGTAAGAATATTAATTGGGAAGTATATCTATAATATTTTGTACAGATTTGCTTCCTTTATATTAATTTAAAGATTTGCATGTGTTTTCACAATTGTATACTGATCATGCACTCCAGGCATTTGTGCTGATGCTAGCATATACGCCAGATGAATTTTCATTCAGATAACAAAGTAATATATATCATTTATGTCTGTTCTTTGGTCTGGTTTAAGATCACCCTTCGGGACTGATTACGCTGAAATAAGTAAACTCCCATTTTGATTTGCATATAAAGAAAGACAATTACCAATTAACTTCAGTACATCAGTCCTCATAAAGTAATTCTGGGTTTTATGGCTGTTTTTACATTTACTGTTCTAACATTTATAGAAGTTTCTGATAGTAAAGGCCTTGCAGATGATAAAGATAAACAGATTTGTTTACAAAAGACTTTAATGGAAGGAATCCATGAAGCTAGTTGGTTGACAACACTTTTCAGTAACAATGGATGATACAAACTAAAATGATGAGTGTATGGATGTCAGCAGCATTTAAGTATGTCTGTATACATTTATGCCTAGTTCTATTATTTCAATTTTTTCTCTTTCTCTCTGGTTCTCTCCTTTCAGGGGCTGTGAGTGTGATATAATTCCCTTATAGGTTATTTCCCTTTTGTTTTAAGCCACACTCGCATTGCCAATGGAACCACAGTTTGTGAAGATTATAGACTGAGTTTGCCATAGGTTACTGAGTTTGCTCATATCACATACTAGCAAAAATAGTCATTTTACATTTTAAAACTTAGATGCTGTGTATACATTATTCATATATTTATGAAATATGAAATATGGTTTATTAAACATAGCTTAGTGACTATCTGTTTTGATGTGAAGTCAAACTTTTTTATATTGAGGGGTACAGTTTCAAATAAGGTCTAAAGGTTATTCAAATATGGTTTCAGTTTCATAAGTTACTTAAAATTAGTTAGAAGGAAATTCATAATGTCACTCGTCAAAGCCTCTTGTAAGTTTTATTTGTGCATTGTACGTTGTGTGTAAAAGTTCTTTTCTTAGATAAAGCAGTGACTCAAGGAAATATTGTCTTTAGGTTCTTCTTTGTAGCAACATTTTCTAAGTATCATAGAAAGTGCTTATATGTTAATGTTTGAACTATAATAGATTAATTCTGGTTTGTCATTGGGTGTTTAAAGAAGTGAAATGTGCAGTTAGAGGCAACTATTGAAATTATAATTGCATTGTGTTCCTTTTGTAGTATGATGTATTAGGTTCTAGTCAAATGTGTGAATGTCTGCAGAAAAAGCTGAGGAAGCATGGTATATGAAATTGAAAATCTGTTCACATGTACTTCCTGTGAGACAGGTTATAAGCCATTTTGAAATTGTTAAGTTTGAAGTTACATAAGCATTGTATAGCATGAGTTTTTTCACATTGACTTATTTAGATCTGACTTCAAAGAGTGCACAGAAAAATTCTAATGACTGATATTTGAGCTTGTTTATGAGAGTGGTTGTAAAGTAGTAAAGGTTCATTATTCTTTACATATTGGTAATATATTATTAATGTATATGAAACTGTTGTGAATGTTATTTCATAGAAAGATATATATGTATATACTTCAGTTATTATTTATTTTATTTTTCTTATTAGGTGATGATGGTTTGAGAACTGCTTGTTGCCATTTGAGGAACCATTGCAGCCGTCATGATAGTCACTTGAAACTCTTAGAGATGTACAGTCTATTGTAGTGTAAATATTATTAACTGGGTGAAGTTATGTGGAGGAAATAGAGAATTTCCTATTATCTTTAGTTTTAATAATCCCCTAATTATTGATTCTCTCTCTCTCTCTCTCTCTCTCTCTCTCTCTCTCTCTCTCTCTCTCTCTCTCTCTCTCTCTCTCTCTCTCTCTCTCTCTCTCTCTCTCTCTCTCTCCCTCCCCCCCCTGTCCTTCTCTCTCTCCCCTCTCCTTTCTCTCTCCTCACCCCTCTCCTTTCATATTCTTTTTCACTTTCTCGTTCTCACTCTTGTTCTCAGTAGTACAGAAATAGCCAGTTATTGTGGGGGCACAGGTCACCAAAGTACGATTGTGTCGTCCTTTCCAAACTTCAGGTTGAACACCTCCTTTCAAATGAGTCACTTGTGACATTGAAGATGCAAGCCTTAGTGCACTTGTACCGTTGATTTTTTTTGCAGGAATCAATTCCTGTATGTTAAGAAAATTAAGACGATCTCGTCATTTTCGGTGTTAAATTCATTCCGAGACTCGATATTTATGGAAATATGTACATGAAAACTTGTAAAATAAAAGGTCCTCAAACAAAGTATATTTTATTATAAAAGTGTCTCTTATCACACTAGAATCCTTTTATGTCAATGACAAATATTACATGAGTTATAAAAAGTTTTTTTTTTTTAACTTCAAAGCAAACTATGTATTAAACTATTGTTATATAACTACATAAAATTTTAGAATATTTTTTGTAAAATGCTAATTGAACAGTTATTCAATATATCTATTGACTCGTTACTATATATGTACTCCACAAAATAGGATTTTAATATGTAGCCTGTGGTACATTGGCACTATGGCATACTGAATTAGTAAACATACTTGGCAACTGTTCACTATCTCTGCCACAAGCATAAGGGACTCGCCTTGGACTTGGTTTGCAGGGTTGACCACTCATGTGCCGGGAACATCAGTGAGACAAACAATGTGTCTAGGGACCTCTGGAGCAGCAGCAATTACAGGATGCAGCCCCCTAATCCGCTGCGCGTTGTTGTCATGGGGGGGGGCTAGGAGACGGGGACTGTGTTCCCTGTAGGGGATAACCCCTGCCTTGGACCTCAGCCCTCTCCTCAACTAATTTTGCATGGTCTCCTTTCCTTTTCCTTCCCTTCCCCATCCCCCTTCTGTCCACTTATCCTAATCGTCAACTATTTTTTACCCTTTTCGCCACAATGCTTTATGACCTTCGTCTGACACAATTATTTGTTTTAGTCATTAACCATTCTGGGAATCGACCCAGAAAGATCGCCTTATAAACCAAAAAACTCCCTTCTCTGGGCTTCGCTTTCAGGCATCGACCTATCGCTATATGTAGAATACGCCACTAATGACCTAAGATGTTGACGCAGCAGAAAATTTTCAGCAAATAAATGAATCCATGATGTAGGGATGGTGATTTGGGTCTGTTTCAGTGGTTCAAAACTAAGCTACTGCAGCGAAAAGCTACAACTGTGGAACCCAGGGAAGCCGGTGGACACATATGCAGTATGTGGCACGCATACTCGGCGGAAGACATTTTAGATTTGACACGTTTAGTTGAAGCAAATTTATGGTAGGGGTTCGGATCATTAACAGTAAGGGTTGACCTACAGACTGGTTCCCAAAGTGGGCGGTGGAAGGATTTATTTTTCAAAATATGCACCAAGCACATGCATCCAAGACAATGAACCATGTTACTATGGTTACTGGTCAAATGTTGAATTATCTTGTTTGGCGCAGTGGTAGCGTTCTCGTCTAGCAGTCTTGCTAACCTGCGTTCAAATCCCTCGCCGCCAGTGGATGGTCACCCCGGCCATTCTTTGCACACGGGGCAATTTAGAAGCAAAATGAAACAGACAGCATGTCACACCAAATGGAATAAAACCGAATTATCAACTATTAAGTATTATTTCATATTGCTGACACAGCTAAAACTGATTGACGAAATACATACCTGTTCGTATGTGTGTATGAAGATGGGAGCGCTAGGAATCCATGTGGAAGCCAAGAGGGCGTCAACTTAGAAAAGTTGATCTAAATCAACCAATGTAAAACTTAGCTGACATGTGCATGTCCTAGATTGAGAGGTTGTCATCATCCTTTTCGGGGGACCCTATCCTCCCACAAAGGCTGCAGAGATGATATATAGGCATTTGGACTCATTTCCTGTACATGCTTCACGCGTCAGAAAGAGATCTCGAGCGGTAATTGGATCCCTGTTGGAGCCCCCGACCCCTTGCTCGTTGTCACTGGAGGCTTTCGAGGCGGAGACTGAGGCCCAATGTGAGGATCAGCCCTGCCTTGGCCCTCAGCCGCGCCTCAGCTGATTGATGGTCTTTTCTTCTCCCCCTTTCTTTTTCATTCTCTTCTTCATTCCCTTCTTCTGTCCACTTATCCCAATCGTTAACCACCATGGTCGTCCCCGGCCATTCTTTGCACACGGGGCAATTTAGAAGCAAAATGAAACAGACAGCATGTCCACACCAAATGGAATAAAACCGAATTATCAACTATTAAGTATTATTTCATATTGCTGACACAGCTAAAACTGATTGACGAAATACATACCTGTTGCGTATGTGTGTATGAAGATGGGAGCGCTAGGAATCCATGTGGAAGCCAAGAGGGCGTCAACTTAGAAAAGTTTGATCTAAATCAACCAATGTAAAACTTAGCTGACATGTGCATGTCCTAGATTGAGAGGTTGTCATCATCCTTTTCGGGGGACCCTATCCTCCCACAAAGGCTGCAGAGATGATATATAGGCATTTGGACTCATTTCCTGTACATGCTTCACGCGTCAGAAAGAGATCTCGAGCGGTAATTGGATCCCTGTTGGAGCCCCCGACCCCTTGCTCGTTGTCACTGGAGGCTTTCGAGGCGGAGACTGAGGCCCAATGTGAGGATCAGCCCTGCCTTGGCCCTCAGCCGCGCCTCAGCTGATTGATGGTCTTTTCTTCTCCCCCTTTCTTTTTCATTCTCTTCTTCATTCCCTTCTTCTGTCCACTTATCCCAATCGTTAACTCATTTTACCCTTTTCGCCAGAATACTTTATTACTATGCTGTTTGACCCAGGATATATGGCGCATTTATTTGTTTTGACCATTAACCATTCCCGAAATGCACAAACATCACCTCATTTAACGGCGCTAATGACCTTGGCTGTTGATGCGGCAGAAAAAAAAAATCAGAGACTAAATAAAGTCCCAGTTGTGAACAAGTAGCCTTTGTCTAGAGTCGGTTATCCAAGAGTGTACAATGTTGCATCTATCATCGGAGGCGTTAGTGTCGCAAGGCCTTCGAAGGCGAAACACGAAGCAAAAAGGGCCACCATATTATGACGTCACACATTGTAAAGTATGACTACTCTGGAGCTCTCGTACGTATTTCAAACCAGATATAATACAGTTTTTTGATTACTTAGTCGATAAAAATCTTTATATATGACTGTATCAAGCCTTTTCCACATCTAATACCGAAGAATTTTAATTGTCTAGTATTTTCATATCTTTCCATGCTTTCTCGGTATTTTGAATCAAACATTAAGTTGAATGTTTAGACGACTTATCTTCATGACCGAGCATTGCAGCATGAAAGACGCAAATATAAGGAACTCTTAGATTCTCTCCATGAAAAGGATGAGCATTTATTCCGATATCACATATTTCTTAAATTTGTTTTACTATAACCTTCTTTGATGCCAAATAACCAGCTAAACAATGCTTTCAAGAATTATTACTCTGATGATCAGTATGCTTACATTGATTTACTTTCGTGAAGAATTATTATTTTTTGCCTGATAATTTTACGCACACTCACAACACTGCTTCAAAATGCTTCTGTCTGCTATGTATTACTGTTATGTCCGAAACAAATGTTTATAACAAGTCAAATGTGGGACTTCATAAACACAATATTAAGATATATAGTAAATAAGTTTGGGATACGTAAATTACTAAGCGTTCACAGTCATTTCTGTGCTGGGGTTTAGTGAGGAATAATGCATATTACATTCTTTTTTTTTGCCTGGAGATGATCGTTTTTTTTTTCATTGGTTGTTACGCCTACATTGAGCTTGAAATGTGCTTAGTACATTGTAAAACCTTTTTGAGAATGTAAGGTTTACGATGCACTGAGGCGATTGGCAGGTGCTATGTAGTAAGACAGTTCCGGCGTCCTCGATCTCGCAGTGGATGGGCTGTTTAAGTATCCTGCCAAGGACTGTTAAGCCATTTTCCGAACTCCTACGCTGACTGCAAAAATGCATGGAGTAATAATACCCGTGTCTTAGCTTCCTATTGGTTGGATACCAAAGCAACTTATGTTCACATCTTTCATAAAACATCATCTTTTCTAAGGCCAAAGAGGTACAATTTTTGCCAAGTTTTCAGGTCTTGAAAATGTTCCACTGTGTAGTGGTTGAAATACAAACAATACGGTCTATATAGCCCTACTTGGAAATAAATGAAAATGTAAAGTTGTGAATGATGAGCATCGTAAACAATTTATGTGCAAGATACTGGAAATTTAACGACACTGATATGTGAATAACTAGACCTATCTTGTAAGTAAATTTTTGTTTCAAGACTGAATCAAGAACTGGATTACCTCATTACTGTAAATCAAATGAGAGATCGCTGTTACTTCTGTGTAAAAAGGGACATATCGCTTGCTATATGTACTTTAGTTACAGGGAAGGTTCTATCTATTGAATTAATCAAATGTTATACTTCCGTGCCGGCTTACCCCAAAATGGGTCCTCCTTCAAGGGCCTTCTACTCGTCCCCCTCTCTGCACAAAGCTCTTACTGGAGAAAATAACTACGGTAATTTTGACTCGAGCGTTTTCAGTGGGTAGAGGCCGCCATGCTTCAGTTTCTGTGGGCAAACCTTCCCTTATATTACTTAGCGTTGGCTTTCTCCTCCAGCCTAAGCTCAATCTTGGCTTTCTGTCTGACATATTCTTAATAAATAATCATGTTGGCTTTCACTAATATATATATATATATATATATATATATATATATATATATAT